AGTGCTCACACCTCACAATCATCGCTTAGCATTCGAAGTTTAAGTCTAAAAATCCTACTAATTCCTAGTTCGTTTAAACTAATGCTCTAATACCAACTGTGACATCCCCATTTTCACGGCCAGAAAAGACCGATTTTGTTTATGCGTTATAAAAATCAGAGTACCTCTTTTAATAAAAATGTTGCGGAACTTGTTCTCAGAAAAACACGATAATTGCGTTATCAAAGCATTTCTAAAGAAATCTATTTTTATTCATTTCAAAACATTTGGGATGTCATCGTCAATACAAAAACATAAACATAAACAGAATTTATATCCATTTACACTAGTGATCTACATCTCTTTTAAATCTCTCAGTGTAATGTAACTTCATATCGACACCTGTGATACAAATAAACTGAGTGGGTCAGGTTGGGAAACCTGGTGAGTAAATAGGGTTTTCAACCCACAATAATATAATTATTATGTTTAAACATCAAACAATCAACCCAATTACCCATTCCCATTATCTTCTTAAGGATTTACCCTAAGGATCAGCTAACCCTTGTTCATTCATTCCTAAGGATCATCATAAGGAAACCACATGAAGTCCATTGTCTCCAATCACACAGTGGTCAAGTGCAACTGCTAATATTATCACTTGGGCGCACCTGCCAGAATTGGGACTTTTTGTATGAGGCGCTTCTGCCGGTATTGACCTTTAAATGCTACTGTCATGGTGATAAGGCTCCCTATTAGGCACAGCTGCCGATACTGTCCTTAGAGCGCAGCTGCTAGGATGTTTACAGTAGATCTAAAACATCTAGGGTTGTGGCGCAGCTGCTAGTGCTCATCTATAGGGTACTAGGTCCATTGCTGCCAATGTTTACCTATAGGGCACTAGGTCCATATTACTAATGTTCCTTTATTTCAGCATTTACCCCTCATCATTTATCTACCCATGTTTTACCCAATATATTTTGTAGATATAAAATACTTTATACAATTTACATCATTTAAAACATGTATAAAAATCTTTCACCAGCATAGACAGCAAGTATTCAGACAATATGCACACATAGCACGTAATTTATATTAAAATACTTCATATCTATGTGTAAGATGAAAGGGACCATGCGCTTACTTGATACGGTGGTGACTCAGCACTCGGACAACGTTTCGATACTCTCAAAACATTTTTCCTTCGATAAAACCTAGTATTAATACCACTAGGGTTTAGTCTAACGATTACCGCGACTAATTAATAGTCTGACTATTATTACTATTATATAAGCGTTAAACAATACTTATATAACTCATAATAATAGCCCAAATAATTATTTTAAGGACGTAATAACATTATTATAATTATTTGAAAGCTATATTAAAAATTGTGTAAGCCTAGCTCACTTACAGCGGATTTTAAAGAAAACCGGGCTTTGCTCGGAGCAGTGTTTCCGAAACCGAAAGACCCATTTTATCGGGACTCCAGGAGCCTCGGGGCTTCCTTAGGGTGCTAGGGGATCACCTAGGCTTAGGGGAGGGTTAAAACCCTTAGAGAGAGAAAATAATTTAGAGAGAGAAAGAGAATGGTGTGAAAAATCCGGAGACCCTCGCAGGTATTTATTGGGGGCGAAGCCTCTCGGAACGCTGGGGGTACGCCTTAGATAAGAATGCCAGCCGAAGCCAGCTGTCTCGCTCCATCGGATGGATCAGACCGGAGCTACGTGGGGCGTAACTTCTTCGGATGTAGGGCGTATGCGAGGGCAACGTGGTGTGATCCGAAGCGACTCCTTAACCAACATCAGATGGCCCAGATGCTGCCACGTCATCAAGTTCTTATCAGACTTCGCAATTTCGACTACAAACTTTCAAAATTCGTATCTTTCGCATACGAGCTACGTTTTTGATGTTCTTTATATCCACGCGAAGGCATGGACGTACTCTACAACTTTCGTTTTGACTCCGTCGGCTAATTTTGACTTTATTTTAAAAGTTACATTATTAATAGGCCGGGAGAGGATTGGTCCGTTAAATTCTCATAACTTCTTCATTCGATGTCCGTTTTCGCTCATCTTTTTCTCGTTACGCTACTCTTAACGAGATTTTCCATTATATTATTATACTTTTCAACTTAAACTAACAATTACTTGTGATTGTGGTTTTTCTTGTGTAATTGGTTGTTCCTGATCGTACATGGACACAACGGTAGGGTTTTACGTCCAATGCCTCTGATATATCCGCATCAAACATCAAATATTTTTTCAAAACAGTTTTTTATATTAGTGGGTGTTTGACCGCTTGCATCAGAAGTAGCATTATGTAAGTGAGTATTAGCGGTGATGTCGGACAATAGCGGCGACATGTAATGCCAACATTTCTTGTAGTGATTGATAAAAAAAGGTTTTTTTAGAGAAGAAATTAAAAAATAAATAAAAACACAAAAAAAAATGAAAAAGAAATTTAAAAATCTAATATACTATTACCTAAAAAGGTTTTTAATTTTTTTTAACAAAAAATAAAAAATAAATAAAAAACAAAAAAGAAAAAGAAAAACACATTTAAATGACATTCCATAGACGTTCATCGCACATGATTATTTTTCTCGAGTTCGTTTTACGTTCCATCATCCATGGATGTGTGTCACGTGATAATGCGTCACAACCAAATAAACGAGTTTGATATTGGTGTCATTGATTGGTGGAGAATAGATTTCACGGTTCCTACCAATTTCTTGGTTCCTACCGGATCCAAACCGTATATATATATATATACACACACACACACACACACACACACACACACACACACACACACACTACAAGAAGATTGGGCAACAGCGGCGACATGTCGCTGCAAATACGTCGCCGATATTGTTTTGTTGTTGATACACTCAATGTCGCCGCAAATATTAGTAGTCGCCGCTAATGCTACCCGTCATCGCTAATACCACCTGTCGCCGCTAATACGATGGTGTCGCCACAAAAGCTGTCGCCGATAAGGATACATCAACCTTTGTTTTCTTGTAGTGATATATATATATATATATATATATATATATATATATATATATATATATATATATATATATATATATATATATATATATCATTTTTTTAATTTATAAAATATAATAATAATAATAATACCAAATATAATCAATAATTTGTTTTTATAAATTAATTTTATATTTTATGAATTACTTTGTATATTTTTTACTAGTTTGTGTTTATTGTAACATTAAAAATTAAGTAGGTTGGGTGAGTTTGAAAATATAAGGTTTATATGTGTTGTAGATGGGAAAAATGGAAGAGAGGATAGACAAAAAAAAACTGACGTGAAGCTGACAGTTATATTGGTCTAATCGTAAGCTTGTTAGGTTAGATAAATGATAAATCCCCAAGCAATCAACTCGTCTATTGTGGAGTTTCTTCAAACAAATCACTTTTGAAATACTTGTTCAATGTTACAAACTCAATTATAAAACTTTTCCATTCAGAAAATAGAAGTTTTATCATATAAATACAAACCGAACAAATAATTTTTTTTTTTTTGAAACGGCAAATCTACTCCTAAACTACACCTTAAATCCACCTATGTTCACGACGGGACTTGAACCCTCAACCTCAAGTAGGGAGGGCAGCACCGGATACCGCTGGGCTACAAGCCCTTTGGTCAAACAAATAAATTTTGTTTTCATGTTACCATAGACAATATAAAATGAAACGGAATATTTTGTTTATTATTTCATGGGGATCCTTGAATGAGTACCCCCAACTCGTGTATAGCGTCAAAGGAATTTGAATCTCTCGTACCTGTGGTCAGGAGGTTTGCATAGCTGTAAAAAGAATTTGTATAAAGATTTAAGACATGTAGAAAATGTTATTGATAAGCCAGTGACCCAAGTTCGAACCATGTTGTAAAACACACATAGTCCTACAAATCATCCAAAGCTATTGCTATTAGATAATGGCTCATAAAACACCCATTATATGTCAAGAAAGAGCAAACCTAAAACTCTGAAGCACTCTAGAAAGTTTCTCAAAAGGTTCTCCGGTAAACCTTTCTAGAAAGGTGGAACAACCCTCATGATCCATTCCAGCAAAATCATAATTCGTAAACATGAACGTATCGTTTCTGGTATATCTATGTTGTATTGTAAAAACACCATTATAGTGTAAATACATTTTCAAATAAATAGGACCATGGTTTTCGTTAGCCATGCACTTCACATCTACCAAAAACTTTACTTCAAAAGAACTCATGATGAGAGGTAACTTACTCGAGTTGGGGGAGAAACCCCTAGATTCTTCTGCTCTGCTTTTCATCGATTTTGGAATCCGATTGTTAGAAATGGTTACACAAAGGGAGCTTTCTAGAACAGTTATTTTAAACCAAAGACCATGTTTTATTGCTGACATGTCATTTAAATGATGAAATTGGAGGTCAATATCCATGACACAGTTAATTACCGCCCTTCATCCAAAATGGTGTAAGTAGCATTTAATTTTTCATTTTAATGGAGTCAGAGATATGAAATTTATTTGAAAGACTTTTTAAAACCAATCCAAAAACTTCGTTGTACCTCCATGTCAATAACCCTAATTTTTTCTATGTTTGTAATTTTATGTTTTTTTTTTTTTTTTTTTTTTTTTTTTTTTTTTGTCTTTTTTTAATTTGCATATTTTTTTATACTTTAGTTTGTTTAATTACCGGCAATAAAACTTATATAGATCCAATGGTTAGGGTTTATTTCGTCGGTCCAATCTTAAGTAACCTAACGGAAAAAAAAAAACCCTATAAAAAACTGTTTAAAAAAAGTCGGCATTAGAAGTGATAAAGGTTCATATTTGGGATGGCCGATAGAAGTATTCCAGAAGCATGATAATGCTGTAAAACACACATAAACCTACAAATCATAAAACAACCATTATATGTCAAGAAATAGCAAACCTAAAACTGGAAGCAACAGACTAAACACATCAAATTGTTCCATGAAAAACTACTTAGAATATTATCACCTAGGCACCAGTATGATCGATAAATCCCACACACTTTTGATCCTCATCACCCAGAGGAAATGGCCTGTACATATATAACATGACCATTGAGAACACAAGAGTGCAGGTTTCCTGTAACGCAGTAGTCTGCAACACGACATTCAGTCCCCTCGTGAAGATAATGTATACAAAAAGCAAGAAAGGGAACACATCATGCCTAGAAGTAACCTCCTTGAGCGAGCTATACGACCTCACAAAGGTTGATGTATCCTTAGCCATTTTGAACGACACAGCCGAACAAAAAGTGTGGAGAAAAACAACGACGCCACAGATGATATCTGTAATCGTAAAACTTGCTCTCAAATTCATCCAGTCTTTCACTATAAGGGCCAGATTTCCACGCCATTATAAAACATACACTAGCCCATGCCCGAAGTAGGATCACAATCGACAAAATGAGTAATATCCATCGTGGCAGAAACCGCCTCCAATTACAACATCCAGCACCGATTAACACTATTTGGCCGAAGAAATATATATCCCTGATAAACTGAAGTATGTAAAAAAAGATATACCATTCACGAGGAATACCAGTAACCTTCAGGTCATGCTGAACCGCCACCGCCCACATAAAGTAAAGGAGATTCGTAACAAGCAACAAACCCATTTGCAAATGCATCAGATTAACACATTGTTGGTTCTTAACGGATATGGAGATCAAAAACCCTAGAAAATGAGGAAGAAACTCAAGTAAAAAAAGGGCTGCGGTTGCCCAGCTGATAAATAATCTTTAGTGGTGCCGTCATCACCGGTGTTGTAAAGCTCTGAGCGGACATCCATCGTCAAGAGGGATAGATCGTTGCAGTTGACGAAGTAAAGTGAGTACACACCAGGATATATGACATGATACGATTTGTTAAAAGAGGACTCAGGAGGAGGGGAGAGATCTCTAAAAGTAAAGAGGACTGAGATGAAGTTAATATCCAAGACGCACAAATCCGGGTTTCTTTTAAATTCTTGGCGGTAGCGGTATGACAGTTCATCCGATAAAAGGAAGAAACCAATGCGCGAGGGATCAGGTTGTGATAAGTTGGATGTAAACGGAATGGAGGAGATCCCGACGGAGGAGACCTTGACGGAAACGTAACCGGTATGTGAGTATTCGAACTCCGAGAAGAGGATCGTATTTCGGTTATGGGATCGGATCTTCGTAGATATGATATCCGCCGTGGATGGTGCAGTCATGATCAACACGAAGAAGAGGAGGAGAGCGGCAGTGATAAATTTTCCTAAAATCCTCATTCTCGACCCACAGGTGGGTGGTAGCCTGACGGTGGAGGAAAGCGGCGGTGAGGAAAAACTAAGACTATATAGTTAACCTATTCTTTTATCGACTTTCTGCCATATATATATATATATATATATATATATATATATATATATATATATATATATATATATATATATATATATATTATCATCACAATGAAAATAAGATTATTATCACAATGCATAATCTCTTAAGAATATTATCGCAATGGCACAATATGTCAATATCGACTTTCTACTGCGTAACGGAAAATAAGATTATTACAATGTCGACTTTCTACATTTTTGGTCTTGTGGTTTGTAAAAAGAACACTTTTGGTCCTAGTATTTTTATTTAGTCATGGATGGTTCCTATTTCATTGTTTGGTAACACATTTAGTCCCATGCTCTCTTACCTTCATTTAAACATGGTTAGTAGCAACATAAAAGACTAAAAAATTCTATACGTTTTTTATGAATATATATATATATATATATATATATATATATATATATATATATATATATATATATATATATATATATATATATATGGGAAAAGTTAATATACGTTTAAGGGTATATAAAATTAGGTACCAAAACACACCATAATACATCATTTTGTTTGATATATTCATTATATTGTTCTTAAACTTCAACATTAACTTGATTTACTTTCAAGATATTCGAAATTTCACTATTATATTTGTCTTATATCACATTTTTTTCCCGAACACCTACTAGGCTATATATATTGTAGTTGGAAATGAAAATTATGTAAGAAGAAGATAAATGTTTAATTTATAAAAATTTTGGAAGTAAAATCAAGTTAGAAGTTAAATTATAAGAACATTCAACAATTAGATTGTACTGTATGATACAAAATGACGTAGTATAGTAAGTTTGAGTATCTAAGCTTATATACCCTTAAATGTATATTCACTTTTCCATATATATATATATATATATATATATATATATATATATATATATATATATATGAACGTTTTTTTTAATAAAAGAGTAAGTAAACATAGATCATTTTTTAACTGGAGTAATCTAAATGGAAATTATAATAGACTCATATACCAACACGTGCATATAAACATCGTTAAAATCCGAGATCGTATGAAGAAGTTACGATGTTCAGAACACAAGACTTTTGTCAAACCACAAGATCTAAACAACCAAGGGAGCGGTGACCAATGGTTATAAGTATCAATAGCTCTAAACACTTTTTTAATGATTATCGCATATAGAATGTCGGGAGAAAAAACCTAAAAAAACAGGTATTAAGTATTGAATATATACAAAACAATAATGACTTATTTTGCAACAAAAAAATAATAAAGACTAAATGTGAAAAAAATATTAAGGCCTAAATGTGTACAAAGTGAGAAATATATTACCCTATTAAGTCATTTTTTTTCCGGCTTACTTGGAGTAGTCTGTTATAAGAACTGAATGTGTACAGTTTAACAAGTTGAAAGGAAAAATATAAACAGAAAAAAAACTCAATGACCAAATATATACAAATCAAAAATATATATTACCTTTTAAGTCATTATGATTGGTTGATTTTTTTCCCTTTGTGAACAGTTCTACATTATGATTGGCTGATTTTTTTTTCTTTTTTCTTTAGTGGGTTTTCTTTAATTTTTTCCCTTTGTGAATTTTTATAGATTCTGGTCTTTTATGGTCGATGGCTGGAGGATTAGTGTCAATGGCTGGAGGATTAGTGTCCTCGACACGTGTATATCCCCTCTTCTACCTCCCCTGCTTCCAATCAGATTCGTTTCTCGCTCCTTCTTTCCTATCCCTTCTTCCCCTCTTCCCCACCACCTCTTTTCCTCTACCGCCTCATTTGTCACTCTTTTATTCCATTTTCAGGTAGATGGACTCCATTCCTTGATTGAACTTCTAGACCCAGATGTAACGACGATGACTTCGTCGATTTTTTCCCTGCTCCGTTTCTTTTGTACCTGTTCTTCTTCTCATTCTTCTCTGCCTTCCGCCCTTCACTCTATTTCCCCTTGCCGTTCCACCTACCGACTTCAATCACCAATAGATCGATATAGAGCCTCAATCTATCAATCAATCAACCACGGTGGAGGATTTGGTATTGGATACATCGATCAGAGATGTGTTACGTGGTGTCTTCTCAATCCACCACGCTTCAACTGTCGAATAGGTTTGCTCCAGATAACATCGAGGTTACTTTAATCTACCGACCTACCGCCTCAAAACTATCGATTTATTAGTTTCTTCCTTATCTCTCGATTTAGGTCAGTCACTTCACCATAACACCACAGCTCATGCGACAGACTGAAATTTGGGGAATTATCGATAGATAGAGATACCTGTGAGGAAGAGAAGGAGAACGCCTTTTTTGGTCTGTTGTGGATCCTTAGGAGCAGTGGCTTAGCTTCCTTGCCCCTATTTCTATCTTTATCTTAATACAACCTACTCAAACCACTGCGTTGCCATTAAGTCATAAGACATTTTTCTATCTTTATTGTCGAGTTTTTTTTTTTTTTAATTCCAAATTACAGTTATTGGTTTACGCGACGGTTTTGTAGAAGATGGGGAAGATGAAGAAGGAATTATTTGCATCGGCGCCATGGCGTCCTGGATGAGACGATCGTCTATTTCACGGTCAGGTACAAGCCGATGTTGGTTTATTCGATTGCAAGTTTGCCATTTGTTTCACTCTTCTTCGTCTAGGTATGGTTTCTATTTGGATTATATTGTGATTTTAATATGCTATGTCAAATTCTCTTTTCTGATGATGTTTATGTGGTGATTCATATTCTACCTGTAACTTATAACTCCGAAATAAGAGAAGGGGGAAAATGGAAGTGAGCTTCGAGTTGCGTGGCCTCTTCCATTCCTCAAATTCCATCTTCCCACTTCCGCCTCCGTCCTTCCCCGCTATTTCAGGTTTGTCTTTGGTTCTTTTTCTAGGTTTTATATATTGCATCCCAAAAACATACAAATGGAAGCCAAGAAACTGTTGGATAAGGTGTCTAAGTCCGTAACTATATTTGGTATGTACTTGACCCGATCTGGATGGCCCATTTGGGTTGCACTTCACCGAAACAATGTGTATGGATAATCTTTTGAGAATAGTATGTTTATGATTTATTAATATATTATAAGTTATAATATATTAATATGAAATCATATTATTTAATTAGTATTGATCAATAATTAATTTGGAATTAATTTAGTGATCAAAAGGAACTAATTAAATATGAACTCTTATGTGTGTGTGTGTGTGTGTGTATATATATATATATATATATATATATATATATATAATGGGCCAAAGTTCATTTCGAATAGGCTAAGCTTGCATGGATAGTCCATGGAGTTTTTAACCCATGGATCCTATGGAAATGAAAGATCATGGGTATTAGGGTTTGCATAGATGTAACCGTAATCCACCACACTATATAAAGAGGTATTTGGCACATGAAATGGCACTAGTGTGTGTGAGAACAAATGGTGGCCGATTTCTAGTGTGCTTTATACTCTCTCAAAGTCTTCCAAGTTGTTTTGGTGATTTGTGATTCCACTTGAGGCATTCACATTATTGGTGCTAGGCTCTTGAAGCTCCAAGTAATAAACCACAAGAAAAGGTAAGTCATTCTTCTAGTTTTTATATTACAAGTACCCCATGATATGCTAGTTAGGATGAGAACCTTGGATAAATCAAATTTGCATTTATAATAGAGAAAACATAGATCCAAGGTTTCTAGGGTTGCATTTACACCATAGGAGTGTTAGAATGCTCAAAACGCATAAGTGATATCAGAGCTTAGGATTGTTTTCATTATACTTGATGCAAATTGCTTGAAAAGGTCGAAATTTTGCTAAATGTTTAGTGGACTCGCCGAGTCCATGGGGAGACTCGACGAGTCCAAGTGAAAGTTCATCCTACTTGTCGAGTAGGTTCTTGCTCTCGGCGAGTAGAAGGCCCTGTGTGCAGATTTTCGAGTTTTGTTGCTGGAAATGGACTAGAATCATTACCCTAAACTATTTTGGAGTTGTAAAATCTGTTTTTGATGTGCTAATGATTATGCTAATCCATTTTCAAAGGTTATTATCAAAGTTTCAAGTTTTATATATGTTTATGTGATTCTTGAAAATTGTTGATATGTATGATCATGCTTATGAGTTTTGGTAGATCATAGGAATTACTTGCATTTTACTTGTTAGTGTAATTCTTGATCTAAATGTCAATTAATGGACTCCATAACTTGTCCTCAAGTTATGGAATTCCAAAAGTCTTTTCTTTAAAACCATTAAGACTCATAGGTTATAGAAATGAATGGTTTTGAATAGTTTCAAAATTGCCCTCAAGTTTTGGAATTTCTAAAGTCTTACACACACTTTAATTCCAAACCTTGGAGTTTTAAAGTTAAAATTCAACCCTTATACTTTATAGCATTATAAGTTAATTATATATATATATATATATATATATATATTATATATATATATATATATATATATATATATAAGATCAAGTCAGTCTTATCGTTAGTAGGCCTCACTCACGAAGCCGGTCTATAAGGGGGGAATAAAGTTTTTGCCTATAAAATGGCAGCTTAATGGGTGGTCACTCTCACCCACTGCTTCCTTAACTGGTGGAGGGTCGTTAGCCGAACGTGTAGGACAATGACTATAATTCTCATTAAAAGTATAATGATGATGATAAAGTAACTAAACCTTTTATAAATTCTCAATCTTAATTACTTTAGGAAAATGTGAATTTGGTGCTAACCCATGAAATTACACTTTGTACCTTACCAAGTCGTTGGTGGAGCATGTGTGGTTAACCAACACACTAACTTGGACTGGTAAGAGTGGCAAATGGTAACTTAATGTTTATCATAGGTCGGTGGAGCGTGTGTGGGTAACCGGCACATCAATTAGGTGAAAAAGTTAAGGGTACCAAGTTAATTTGCATGGTTATTCACACCTTGTTT